AAAAAAATGAATGTAGCAGAACACCCAATCAGAGAATATAACCAAGCATCGATCTACCTCTCGGAGAAACCAATTCCGAGGCCAAAAAACAAGGAACAAATCCAAAAAGGTAAACCTTAAAGCACATAAATTCCAGACCCCTGAAATGACAGCCAGACGGCCCAACGCCAACACAACAATTAGAAACAAGGCAAGGAGAAATAGAAAACAACTCAGATAATAGGCCCAAAGAAAATTTATTGATATAAGAAACACCATAAGCAAGAAGCACGATTTTTCCCTTTCAAGATTCTCAGGGCATTTAACATACTTAACTACACAAAATCATTACTCAAAATTCCTTCCTTTGTTAGCCATTCCATACAAGCATTGCCAGCCCTCATGATATATGAAATTCTATAATTAAAATTATTGAGCATAATAAGAATATTTTGAAACATATAAAATTTACTCGCATTGAAACATACATTGGTAGAAAATAATGAAAGTAAACCTTTAGAATCCACTCCAATCCATTAATTTTAAATGTTGTTACCATAACAAAGCTTTAGGCCTATATACAGGGCATGCAGCTCAGCTGTTAAGGCTTTATAAGTAGGCAATTCATAAGCAAAGCCACTAATCAACTTGCTATTATAGTTAATTAATTATGAATCCAGCCACCACAACCACATCCAGTGATCAAAATAAAACCATGAATATTAAGTTTAAATTCATCAAAAAAAGGCTTAGAACACTTGATAAACTTAGTGGAGATAGCCTCAAAGGTATTCTCACTATAAATATTAAAAAAAGTACACTAATCTTTCCTTCCTTTAAAGTGCTTGTGAGATAAAACATTAGCCTAGTTTGATTTTGCTCATCATAATGCCCTCTGATAACACATATAAACACCATTATTCTTTTATTGTTGTTTCTTTCACCCCACCAAATCGAAAAAAAAAGGAAAATATATCCACTTTAACTTTATTATGAAACCTTAACATCTGAGCTGATGTTTTATCAGAGATTCTCTTGAAAATGTTATTGCTGCTTATTCTGCACGTATTTCTACTTCTTCTGCTATAACTGCTGAACTTAATGCTCTCTTATATGGGTTAAATATTTGTACCAATTTAGGTTTTAATTGTATCTGGATTGAGGTGGATGCTCTGTTGCTTATTCAAATTATAAGTAATGTTTATCCAGCCAATCCGAACCTGTTTTATCTGATTAGACAAATTAAGCAATCCCTTTCCACTGTCTCGTATTATATCTCTCATATTTATCGTGAGGCTAATGTTTGTGCGAATTGGTTAGCCAAAAGAGGTTGCAGTTTACAACTCTATGAGGAACTTGATATTCTTTGTCTGCATCTGCCTGCATCTGCAGTTACAAGGTATGATTCGTTTAGATAAGTCTGGTTTACCTTATGTTCGTCATGTTTAGTTCATGTGCTCTTGGCCTTGGGTGGTTTGTGGTGCTTCTGTGGCTGACCGAATGCACTTTTTCGTGCATCCTGTTTATTTCCTGGTATTTTTACTACATCTTGGATTTCCCTGTTATGTCTAACAACTTAAACTTTTTCATATCTGTTGTTTGGATTTGCACGGTTGTGGATTTTGGTTTCTATATCATTATTTGTATTTTTCATTGTGTCATTGTTACTTAATAATTTCCTCCTTGTTACTGCTCAGTCCTTCCCTAGTATTGGTTATCTTATCTGGAGCTGCTGCTATTGTGGCCGCGTGTTTGTTTCGAGTTCCTCCTTTTCCACGCACCTGGTTTATTTTAAAACTAGTCATACTTCTTTCAGGAGGTGGTGTTATCCTTTTTGTTTATGTAACAATTGGTTGTGGCTGAACCAAATTATTTTGATCTCTTCTTTTAGCACTAACATGTGTTCGTGTTTTGGTGAATATTCTATTTTTTTAGCTTGGCCTCCCTATTTCTTGCCTCATATCTGTTTTTGGAGTTTCCCTTGCAGAAATTTTATCAACCTTTGGGATTTGAGCTGCAATGGTTGCAAGGTAATCTCTTTTGTGGTTTTGGTTTTATTTCTGACCTTTTGCAGGAAGACAAAGCTGTTGAGTTATACTTTTATCTTCCTTTTTTGGGCGCTGTCGTCTCACAACCCTAGTTATTTTTGTAATTGTAGAAAAAGGATCCACCGGCTCTTAGGTTTTTCATTTTCCTTTTTCAATGTGCTCTTGCGAGCAGTAGCGAGCTGGAGGTTTCTTCTAAGGACTTTTGTAACTGTTTTTTTAATATTAACGCGTAGGCCCCATGAGAGGGTTTTAACCATAAAAAAACTTTATTATGAAACCAATATGGTAAGGAGGGATTAGTCTTGTTATTAATTCCAGTTTTTTTTTCTGCAACCCTTTTTCTAAGGCAAGCCAAACCCTAATATTAATATAAAGCTATTTAGAAAAATATGACCAATACTGTCGACATGATAACAACATTGACACTTAGATCCAAAGATAAACCTTTTTCTTGGAGTCTACTATAAATAGGAATATAACCTTTTAATTAAAATTCTCCAAACTAACATAAAAAAAATTAAAAGGAATAGTGGAAAACTCAAATTTTATCAAAAACAATGTTTTCAAATTTTTCAGATTTGAAAAAATGGCACACTTTATTAACACTGAAATCACCATCCTCAGATAGTTTGAACAATATTTGGTCATTACAGTTAATGTTAACAAGAATATCAACCAAATTATATACTAAGCTATGAGGAATAAAGTCAAGAAGACAATCATTATATCAATTATTATTACCAATGAACCAGGACGCTTTCAATGAGGAGGTAGAATGAGAGTTAAAGTGTGAGCCAAATAACCTAACCTTAGACCAATGATCCTGCCAAAAGTGAGATGAGCCGTTACGAATTTCCCATTGAAAGGCATATTCAACAAATCATTCAATATTGCATAATTTTTTCTACCCTGAAGATTGACCTTGCTTATAAAAGCAAGAGGTCGGATGCCTATTATTGTAAAACTTTTGATTTATGAAATTGGCCTTAAGGGAGCATTCTTCATGAATTTCCATCATAAATTGAAAGAAAATCCTTTCACACTACAGGAAAAATGTCATAAAACACATAAAAAAAGTCTCAGCGCAAAAATTCTATCGAATTTTTTTTTTTCGGCAAAGTTTTTCCGCTGGTAAATCATGCGTCGGAAAAATCCTTGTGGCGTAAAACATTTCACCGAAAAATATTTCTAGGGGAAATAAAATGTTGGTAATTTTTGACATAATTTTTTGTCAGAAAAAAAAACATTTAAATATGCCCAAGGAATGAGCAAGCGTGTCTGCTCAATCTAGGCGAGCCAGTCAACCTGATCGGCCATCCCTAGCCCGCCCTGCATGCCTGCTGCACCCCAGCCTGCCAGCAATTTAATTTAAAAAATGAATAATTATAAATATTTATTATAGTAATTTTTTTAGAAAAAAATTAATTTTCATTGGAAAGCCAATAAAAAAAGCTATTGGAAATCCGTCGAAAGTTTGTCACAAGTAGGATTAATAACTAGGTCATGAATAGGTCTATAATCCAAACCCGCTTCCAAAAGAGGACCACTACAAGTATTCCAAGTAGGCCAATGCAACTTTTTAGGATTAGAAGTGGAACCTTAAAATAATTTATTAATAGCTTTTCTAGTCTGTCACAAACGGCGAGTGTAGGATTAATGGTTTGAAAGAGATAGATGGATATAGAATATAAAACACTCTTAATCAAAATCAACTTAGCTCCTATAGACATTTTTTTTAAATTCCTAGGAATATAGCTTATTATTAATAGCACCAAATAGGTTATCAAAATAATAGAAAAGCCATTAAAAAAGGTCATTTCATGATCTAATTAATGCTTCATTTTGTACCAACTACAAATTACATTCATGTCATAATCTTGTTATTTTATATATAACAAGAGCATTAAATTTGTTTTTAGACATATACTAACAAGTTATTTATTAGTGTAATCCTATTTTTAAAAAAATTAAGAGGAAAATTTTATCAAATGAAGCTTGAATTTGAATCCATATTTGAGGCCCCTCAAAAACATTTAAATTAATATTGAAATTAAAGGAATTGAGCAATCATAAACGGTCACTTATCATTTGGCCATTTTAACAATCACATGATATTGTGCTAAGTTACTTAAAAAAAAATAAAAAATAAAAAATATTTTTGAAATGTGTTGCCCATACTCGAATTTTGGGAAAAGATGCATGCTCTTACAGTATTTTTGAATCAATTAAAATTATTTTATATATCATATTTTAAAAAGCAACGCAACTAAAAAACCAGACCCAAGAAGATCTAATGATCTATGCCATGTAGATAATTTATACCTCTACAGGCTACATCAATAAAAGAATATCAAAAATCAGATGAATAAATTAAATAAATTAGATAATCTTGCATGCTATTGATTAATTTCTTAAATAATATTATATTTTCAAAAAAGATGCGAAATTAGAATAGTATTGTCACTTTTCACCTTGACAGTATTCCTAATAATCTAAGGATGTTTGAGCTTATATAAAAATGGGACAAAAAAAAAATGCAAAATTTATATGCATTAATTCTCTGAGGGCCCTATAGTAGAACATCTGAGTTAGTATTTAATTTAAAAAAAAACTCTTGTTCCTAGCAATTTAACATCCCTGTCATCTACCAGGCTACCACCTCCTGCCTTACCAGTTAGAGCAAGAGAGAGAGAAGCAATCTGCTGAATAGTCCTTTGTCCATCCATGGCTGCAGATATAAATATAAATAAATATATATACTTATTTATATTTATAAATAAAGCAAGTCCAAGTCCCTTGATTTGTTATTTTCTCTCAGGTTCTTCAGACCTTTTCCCCTCCCCTCTTCCAAAACCCAATGCACTGTTCTCCCTTCTTCTCACTTATCAATTTCATCCTCCTCTCTCTCTAGCTTCCATCTTCAAACAAAAGACGACAACTCCACCTCTCTATCCTTCCACACATATCTTTTAAATGGCTTCTATGAACAACTGGCTAGGCTTTTCTCTATCTCCTCAGGAGCACTCGCTCTCCACCGAAGAAGCTGACTGCTATGGCTCCAATCCAACCCTAAGGCCTGATGGCTCCTTTTCCATCCTTGAAGCCTTTAACCGCACTTCTAACGGTTAGTTTAGCCATCTTTATACTTTCATGAACCATATTCAAAACCCTAGCTAGTTTTTTTTTTTTATTTTTTATTATCAAAGTGGTAAGCTTTTGAATTTACAGATTGGAGTATAAAGAGTTTGGATTTCAAAGGGACCCCTTCGGAGCTCTCCATGATAGTGGACTCGAGCGGGGGAAAGCGTGGAAACATGGAGGATGTTGTTGTCGACGAGCCGAAGCTTGAAGATTTTCTCGGCGGCCACTCATTCTCCGACCATGAGCCAAAGATCGGATCTTTGGCCGGGGATCATTATTTATATTCAAACTGCTCGCTACAAGTTCCAGGAGTTGCGTCTGGTGGTGGAGGGAATGGTTCTATTGGGCTGTCGATGATCAAAACATGGTTGAGAAACCAACCGGCACCGTCGGGGCCAATGATGGAGGGCAATGAAGGTGGTGATGATGTTGGAAGTAAGCAATATTATAAATCTAATCTAAAATCATATAATTTCAAGTAAAATTTTGGGGTCGAAATTTCCTTATATAGGATGGTTTTTTTTCTTATGTGTGCACTCTTTAAAAGGATATCAAGAGTCATTTGTTTTTCTCTTTACAGCAGTTAATAAAATGTGCATAAATAGTTTTACTTAGTTGTATATATTCTTTTTTTATCACAAAATATGATAAAATTCTTGTAGTGAGAGGAGGAAGAGGTGGAACGTCGCAGAGCTTGGCGTTGTCGATGAGCACCGGTTCGCAGTCAAGTTCGGCTTTGCAGCTTGTGGCAGTGGGGAGGACTGGCGGCGGCGGCGATGACGGAGGGGAGAGCTTGTTGTTGGAGAAGGAGAAGGGTGGTGGAAATTGTGGGAAGACTGATGCACAGAGTGGTGCCATAGAAGCTGTGCCGAGGAAGTCTATTGATACTTTTGGGCAAAGGACTTCAATTTACCGAGGAGTTACAAGGTTTGGCCATGGCATGCACACTTTCTATTGCTAAGATAAGGAACAAATTGGTTATTTGGACGCTTTTTGTTGTTTTTATTGTTGAAGGAATGTTTTTGTTTTTTTGTTTTTGGCTTTGTTTGAATTCTAGGAATTTGAGTTAGTAAACAAAAAAATAGAGAAACTGAAACTAGTGATTAATTTAGATTCATAATCACATTATAAGTTACTAGGATTTTCGTTCATTTCCATGGCTTTTGTTCGAGGAGACTTTGATATTTTATGCTATATTACTTTTGATCTTGAGTTAGCGATAACCTTTTACTCATTGGGAGCTATCATATTTGCTTATGAGAAATTATTTAGTCTTACTGACAGTTTTTTTTTATCTTTATGATTATCCAGCAATCAAATTTTAAGCTACAATCACATGTAAAATAAATTTAAAATATGTGATTAAGTCTTTGATTTATCATTTAAGCTTCTTAATTATACTAAGAAATTAACATCACTAGCCATTTTTTTGAAGTTATAATCACACAACTCTCTTTTTTTTATATGACTATTGCTTTAGAGAAAAGAGATTTAAGCCAAGATTTTTACCAAAAAAAAGTTATTTTTGGTGCTTAAACATTAATTATAATTTTAAGAGATATATCTATAAAAGTAAAAGTTGTGATCAGTTGATATTTTGAATCATTTTAAAATTTAACTATTGATTAATATTTAATTACATAACCTATATAGTGAGTAGTCTGTTAAACGAACATCTCCACATTTTTAAAATTTTGGATTTTAAAAAGGAGGCTGATGAATATGTGAACATTTTTATTTTTTAAATTGAAATACTTCAATGAATGGAAGGATAATTCTAAGCATTACAAACTTAATAGAAAAAATAATAATTGTATGCGAATATCCTAAAAAAAGAATCAAAACAGAAAGATAATAGAATGCCTGTTTTAACAAATACAAGACAAAACTACAAAGCACATTTTTCTGGCATGTAAGATAATCTGAAGGTTTTCATATCTCCATTGAAACAGGCATAGGTGGACGGGGAGATATGAAGCACATCTATGGGATAACAGCTGCAGAAGAGAGGGACAAACCCGCAAGGGAAGACAAGGTGCATAGCTTTTCTAGCCTTAAAAAGCTTGAAAAACACTTAGAACATAAACAAATTGAAAAGATCTTGCATTAAATATCTCAACCTGTAAATACATTCTCATAAATTACAAAAACATTTCTATTTTTTGTTAAGGTTCTAATTGTTTATCTTACAAAAATAAATACTTCGATTTTTGAAATATTCATGCTTAGGATTTTGCACCCTACAAAGCTAACTTTCTCACATTTGCTTATTCTTTCATGGCATTGTCTTGTAATGGAAATTGGCCTCATCTTCCAACTGGATATACAGTCTACCTGGGTAAGCAAAAGATGCTGTCCTTTTAAATTTCTTTTCATTGTGTACAAAAAATTCATGTCATTGCTGAGCTTTTTTTTCACCTTCTGCTGAGGATATTTGGTCAGGGAATCAAAGTTTGATAGGTTCCTTTCCTACCTGCTTCTCTTTTCTCATATACCAACTTTATTATATTTGGACGCAGGTGGCTATGACAAGGAGGAAAAGGCAGCAAGGGCTTATGATTTAGCTGCACTCAAGTATTGGGGTACTACAACAACCACCAATTTTCCTGTATGTAAATTTTTTTTCTTAGATTTTTAAAACAATATTGTGCTGAATTTCTCTTTGAAAGATAATGCTTTAAATAGTTAAAATTACTCTTAAAATCATCATTTTATTTATGGTTTAATAGATTAATAACTACGAGAAGGAGTTGGAGGAGATGAAGCATATGACAAGGCAGGAGTATGTGGCATCCCTCAGGAGGTAGCTCCTCTGCACAAAAATACTTCACTTATAATTTATTATTTTGTTAGAATATTTATATATTTAATATAATGTTTTTTCTAACAAAAAAAATATTGAAAATTAAGTATTTTTGACACAGGAAGAGCAGTGGTTTTTCTCGTGGAGCCTCCATTTACCGTGGTGTGACAAGGTATATATTTATATATATATTGATCATTGAGCTTAAACAAAGGACTTATAATTGTGATTATTGCCTAAATTTTAGTTATTATAAGTTGTTAATGGATTGTTTGTTAATAGACAAATAATTTTGAAAACAATAATTTAGTTCTTATTTATTTTATAAGTGATTAACTAATGTTGTTGTTTTTATTTATATCTAAGTAAATTAATTAAGTATTTTAACTTTCAGCATAATTTTGATTATATGATTATATTATTTAGTTAAAATTTATAACCATCGTTTAACTTAATTGATCATAAATTAATAATACTCACTATATATGATCATCATGAAGCTATAGATCTTATAACTGTGCAGAAATTCTCACATAAAAAAATTATACCTTCATGCTTTCAATTAACTCTTTTAAAATTATATCTGCTCACTTTTGATGTACTTGACTCCATCCTATCCAAATGTGGCAGACACCACCAGCATGGAAGATGGCAAGCAAGAATAGGAAGAGTAGCAGGAAACAAGGATCTCTACTTAGGCACATTCAGTAAGCACCATTTTTTATCACCTCGTTACAGTATTTTCCCTATAAATCTAACTTTTGAAAGACAACACTTGAGTGATAAGACATCAACGTTATCTTTTTCAAAAAGGCACGCAGGAGGAGGCCGCCGAGGCCTACGACATCGCCGCCATCAAATTCCGCGGCCTCAATGCCGTCACCAACTTCGATATGAGCCGCTACGATGTCAAGAGCATACTGGAGAGCAGCACCCTTCCCATCGGTGGTGCGGCGAAGCGTTTGAAAGATGTCGCTGACGGCCACTCGGAATCCAGCATCGACGGGCAACGCTCTGATGATAGCAGCAGCTCCATTGTCGTCGCCTCTCAGCTAAGAGAGGCCGCTCTCGCCGGCTACGCCTCCTCGCAACACTATGGTTGGCCAACCATAGCTTTCCAGCAGCCACAACAGCATATAGGGTTGCACTATCCTTATACTGTAGGCCAGCAAAGGGGTTGGTGTAAGCCGGAGCCAGATGTAGTCACATTAGGCCATGGCGTGCAAGATATGCAGCAAGAAATCCACCTTGGAAGCACCACTCATAATTTTTTCCAACCTTCCGGAATTCATAATATGGTGGGTATTGAATCATCAATGGAGCAACAAAGTGGGGGGTCTTCAAGCTCAATGATGTATGGTGGGAGTGGCTATGTGATACCAATGAGCTCCATGATGGTAGATGGAAGCCAAGTTGTTGGTGGAGTTAATGGTGGTGGCTACGAGAATATGTTGGGTAGTTCAGATCCTTATAGTGGGAGAAATGTTTACTATTCAAATAGTGTGGTGAAGGAGAATAATGGATACGAGAATGGGAATGGTTGGATGGTGAATTCAGCGCCGGCGGTTGGGGCGAGGCAGGGTGGTGGTGGGATGGGCAATTGCCAGGCGGCGCCTCCTCTTTTCACTGTGTGGAATGACGCTTAATTAGCTTGGTTAAACATGGCTTATGGTTGCAGGAAGGGATCATTATGTTTTTTTTTTTCTTTTTTATAAGGTTTAATTTGCAGGAATATTTTGTGGAGGAACTGAGAAAGGTAGGTGAAATGGTCAGTTCCTTCCGTTAATTTAAACACTAATGCTAACATGTAGGTTATGCTGAAGTGATGGTGATAGATATGGAAGAGACTTGCAAGCCCTTACATGTAGAATTTTGTAAGTGTAGGAATGTAGAACTCGTTTGGAATATTTGTAAACTTCATGTGGGGGATAATTGATATTTATCTATAGAATATCACCGGCTTAAATCGTTTTTTATGGCCGATTTTGCTTCTAACTAGAAATAAATAAATTAGAAATGATTATTTTCATTGAAAAAATATATAATTTTCTTTTGTAAAAAAAACTTATCAGATAAGCAAATCTACGAAAATTTAGATTTTGTTTGGGACAACTTTCGTATTGCTTTCTAAAACGACTTTTTAGTGCAAAAACTTCAATTTCAAGAAATTTTTGTAATAGAAATCTGTTTTAGAAAATAAGAAGAAAGTCGTTCCAAATGAAGCCTTAAAGATAATTATTTTCGAATTGCCTACTTAGTCCAAC